CAAACTTCTACTGCGTTAGCGGAAATTCACCCCGCAACCGGCATTAAGTGAGAGGCAGCATAAATTATTCAGTGCCGTGACGCAAACTTCACACAACGACCAGCTCTGCCTCCGCAGCAACTCGTGCCGGTTCTACAGCCGTCGCTGACTGTTGGGAGACTTTGAACGATGAAGGAGGTCCGGAGGTAAGGGAGGCCCGGTACTCCACGTATGTAGCTAGATATGCGCCCTCCCTTCATCCTTAACCAAGCCTTGCTTTCCGAATGAACACCGTCGATGGAGACTGGTTGAATTTTGGGAATCAATATAGAGTGCCCTCTTCTAAGTGCCACAGAGCAGCTGCTGTTGGCTTTATGGGAAATGAAGATCATAAAAGTGTAAGGATCCGTCACATGGGGGGTCTTCCGGGGACATCGATACGATGGGAAGTACCGCCAGGCAGGGGACATTCAGAAGAGGCTTGCTGGCAGGACCGTGATTGAGGAAGGCATCATGAAACCTGAGGTGTGATGTGCTGAGGTAGATGAGAAGAAGTATTCAAGCGAAAGGAAACGATCTGTTAAGCTTTGTCACTAAGCTAGAACGTTCATTGTAATGTGGAAAAATATCAAACCTCTTCCCTATGTAATATGGCTGATTTTTGATATATGTAAAATAATCTATGGATACATACTTGACAAGCACATAGGAAGTAGTTTGGTGTTGCGAAGATGGTGGTGAATCCTCTTTTTTTGAAAGCTTTAAAGCCTTGAAAAAAACGAGGTTTTTTAATAGTCAAACTATTGTCGTCGAACAGAATCAGCAACTTCAAGCAGCTGACTGAACCCCTACCAATACATACATACATTTCTATTGAGCTTTTTATTTGTTTTGACTCTTGCATACAATCGAGTATTCTATCGTACAATATCATTTACGGCTGGCAATTTTTGCAATTGCAGGTACTGTAACAATGCAAACCCAGGGAATTCAGCCGGGGAATCTAGTTACGAAGCGAACTCAAAAAAGCTTACGTCAATTTAATGATACCGTTAAGCTCGTTCGGATGAAGAAGTATTAAACAGGCGCCCTATAGAAATTATGAATTTATAACAATAAAATAACATAAAATGAATAACAAAGAACCAGGATGGTAAACAAAAAGTTATTTTGTTCTTTTTACAATGTACCGTAGATCATTAAGGGACTGCCATCAGCCACTTCTTCCGCCAACAGATCTTCAATTGCTTCTGCGATACGCTTGTTGCGCGAAAACAGCTCGGTTCAGCTATTCATGGTTCACAGGACTATTTTGCTGGCAGGGCAAAACAGGCACTTCAAGCGGGTCGATGATGAACACAGAATTGAAGCTGTACTCCACCAAAGAACAGAATCAAAAACACTGTAGAATACGCCGTGTCGTTTTGAGATGTGTATGACTTAAACCATACTGGTGATACCATATCGTTTGATCAAATTCAAATGATTTTGTCATATAGCACATATTGCTTTTTCTCTTCAAGAGCACACACTTATTCATAGAAACAAATGTTAATTTGAGAATGGCGACGGTCGCCGATCATTAACATTTAGACAGTCCAGCCGAGTGCATCGACGTGACATCTCGTTTATCTCTTATCACTCCCGCCATACGAAGTAGTATAGGCCAGCTGACGTTTATGTATATCTAGGCGCATTTAAGGAAAGTAAGCAGGATTACGGGATGCTCTTCGATTTGTCTCCAGCATGCCAGGCCTAGATATTATTCCAGTTTATCTTTAATCGCTATCAGTATCGTCCGAAGCATCATATATTAGGTCAAGGATGTAACAACAAGCTAGAGAAGATAATGGAGTAGGTAGACACTTATAGTCAAATGAGTGGACGGATGAAGGAAGAATCGTCTTGGATTGATCGAAGCGTAGGTGGCGCTTTGTGTGTGTAAAACTTTGCGAGGTAATGGTTCGCTATTGGGAGCCTAATGCGCGGGATGATATTTCAAACTCGAAAGGCCATTTCGCTAACGAAAAGACCCATAAATTAAAACACTCGACAGGCCATTGTTTTCATTTAGCATACGATCAGAGTAGCATATACTCGAACAAGGGCCTCTTTTCTGATGTTCCCGATACTAAATACGGTTGTTACGATGCCTCACTTTAAATAAAATGGAATTAACAATCATGAAAACAACAGATAGCAATTTTATTTCCTAATGTAAAGTACCATTGATAGTAGCCAGCATCAGAACTCAAAACGATAACGGAATGTCAATTATTATAGGTCCTGCGACATGTCATACTCTCGCCTCGGAGACATATTCGTTACCAGAAAAAATATAATCTCGCCTGGATGAGAGCGCGACTCAGTTATTTGTTTCAATATATTTCGTTGTCGTTGGTGGTTCCATGTTGAGGTGTCACTATTCATTTCTATCTATTATGGTAATGGATATTTTGAAGTATCATTAGTGTAGCATCGTCCTGCTAAATAACCGAATTCGCTTTCCGTGGTTCAGGACTATTTTTGGCACGCCGTATTCGTTTTGTCAAACAATTCAATTTTAGGTTCTGCATTTCACAAAGGCACTCTATTGCAATCGATTATTTAGGAATACTGATGCGACAAAATGTCCTGATATCCCCACGCCTCGTCCCAGCTCACAGCTTTGATCTCTTTCATGCATCTTGCTCATAGCGTCAACATCACTGATACCGCCATTCCATAAGTGGGGTAGGTCCTGTTACGGCGCTGCAGTAAACTCTGCATATCTCAACCCAACTAAAGGCCTTTATGATAATAATTGTGAGTCATTTTGTGGGTCATTATAGCTGCTCGAATCTTTATGTCCTGGCATAACGCGCTGTTGATGACGATATCCACTTTGCAGTGATACGTTCACGACCTGTGTCCTCCACATTCCCGATTGTTCTCACTGTTTAGAGTATAGTTATGTTGTTTCTCCGCTACCTTAAAAGATTTCGCGTCTTTTTTGAGTATTGTCTTCGCCTTCGAACCGTATTGCAGTTTGGAGCATATTTTGGGGTCGACAGCTTCTTGACGACACCACAGGACTCTTGAGTCGACATTTTGCCGTTTGTCAGTATCCATAGGCGTTTGCCGAATTCGCTTACCTGGCAGTACCTCTGCTGTTAAAGGACACGGAGGTTTTGGTATTGCCTAACTCTCGCTTGGTTCTGGGTACGCTTCGTTGTTGCGCTGTTCCGATCTGTTAGACTGACATTTTGAACTATTTAATGTCTTCCTCTAGTGTACCAACCTGCGTCTGTTCATCAAAAAGAGCGGGCATTTCGCCTTCTCCAGAGCTCTGCCCTGTTTATAGTGGTGTTTCCATGTGCAGCCTTGAAAATCGTCCAATATAGTTGGCCCTTATATTGATTTGTGGTACTCTTTATGTACTATGCAGCTGGCCTGATGGTAAACGTTAAAATACTGAATTGCCGTTTTTTCCAAGATGGCCTGCGTTTTGCTCAAGGTTTGGACACGATTGCACGCTAGCCCATCACTACTACACTAGAAATTTACAGTATATACTAAGACTTTCTCAGGCGTTCCAATTTGCTGCCACAACAAATTGCCAGCGGATGCTGGTGATGATTATTGTAGGCGTATACGTTGGCGAGTGTACGTAAAAGAAGAGAGAACATTGGAGAACGTACAAGATGTATCAATACAACAATAGGCCAACTTCTCAAAGCCGTTATTTTGTAGGTTTATCGATAGTCTTGGAAGTCAAACTTCCGTAGAGACAAGCCATCTTCTCTTTCTATGGATATCAAGAACGCGCGTACGGTATTTAGAATCAGTGTGCTAATAACACATAATAAAGACATGAATGTAGGCTGTCATTAATATGAAACGAGCCGACTGGTATACGCCTACCACCTGTCCTCCGCGGTGGATCTCTTGCCGAATTGTTTGCCCGATGAAGCCGACATTTCTGTTTTCGTTCGATCTACTGACGACATACACGAGTACGTGCGTATATGCAAATTCGTCCGCTTAATTTTTGTCAACAAACTATAACGGATCGATTCGAAGTCACGAATTTAGACTGTCCTACTTTATATAGTAAATGATTAGCTAGCAAAAAAAACGAGCCTGCATATAAGAGTATAAGGAGCTATATAAAAAGCATAAACCGTAAACTCTTAACACCAAAGTACAATGCAACAGGAAGTCGATGGAGATGTACAGGACACCTAAAAATTGCCCCCTTTTTTTTTAAACGTAGCTGCAATTCATCCTAAACAGTATCTAATGAAAGGCCACTCTAAAAACTCCGATAACACGGCATTTATTTAGAGTAGTATACGAAATAGGTCTAACACTTAAATCCGAGTGCTGGCCAGCTAAGAGAATAAGATAATTCGTTTTCCGATATGACCTATGCCATCTTTCAGATCGATGCATACCTATGCTTAATGGATTTCTAGATAGGTACCCTAACATTTCTAGATAAGATACTAAGAGAATGTACTAGATAACTACGGAAATCTCGCTGATTCCTTGTCAAGTTGTCTACAACCGACTTTTTTATGTTATTTTGTCGTGAACCACCAAAGTTAGGATATCTTAGCTTTCACAATTCTGCTAGCTAAAACAAGCCAGACAAGAGTTCTTTATATGCACGTAATGTCCATGTGTTTCCTTTTTCTGTACAAGTGGCTTTTGTCTATGTTACTTGTCTGGTGAACGGAAAACTATAGGTCATTTCCATTCTAATACATAGTTTTCAACAAAGAAACGAACTCCACACGGTGATATTTTTGGCACACAGGAATCAGCATTGTTTGTTTTTGATAGTTACAGCGTAATTTTGACTTAACATGGAGCCTAATTTAATTTATGTATCGAGCCTATTGCGAAACCGGTGAGCCTGCCTAGAAACGATATCTATCTCTGTTCGTCGTCTGCTCATTATCAGCCGAGATAATCTGCAGACTATGAATAACTAGTTCTGCTGTGAAGTCAGTATATTGGATCAGATGGTAGAATAGAACAAAACCGTTGGCCTTGTTTGTAATGAACAAAAGTGTGTGTTTGTGAGCTTTTGGCAAACTATGACTGTGGTAGCATCATCGGCTAAATCCTAAGCTGCCGGTTTTTCTCCATAACCAGATGTTAGCTCCATTATAGGGCCACGATTTCGGTATTTTCCTGTCTCGCGCCATGCATGAACAAGGTCGTCTCGGTAGAAGCTAACGTAAACACCGATTCTCCTAACAGGTATGCGTTGTGTATCGATAGATTGCTTTTCGTACCATAACGGTAACAATATGCATGGGTAAAAGTCGACTCCTTTTTTGTAGGTCTGGCAGATTGAATGAGCAAAATTCAATTAGTATAATAGGCTTATAATAAACATCAGGCTAGATTGACTTTCTCGTCTGTTTTTTCTTGATTGCTCAGACATGGTACAGGCAAAAACTTAATGAGGGAAACAACCGTTTAGCGAACCTTGTTGGAGTTCGAATGTGCCTCGTACTTCAAAACTTCAACAACTCGATGGCAAACAACAAGTAAGGTTATTACTAATGGACGAGATCATTTTGAAATTAGGTCGATATATACTACAATATGAACAATTATGGTGATGAGTATCCAAAAAACAACCAATGCGTCGATAATTAGATATAACCTTGGGAGCTGTATAACTTACTATGGATTCGATGCGGAGCTATTGTTAAATGTGAAGTTAAAAATTCCCCTTCCAATAATTTTACTTTTCGTATAAAAGGAATCGACTTATCCTCTTCTAACAACTAATCAATGACGATATAGAAATCTTTGGCGAGAACTGGCTACCTAATAACCTTGTTTCATTTACCAATGAAACGGCCGGTTACGACGCTATTACTAGTAATTATAGTCGTAATGACATAAATAATATTGAGTACTTTTTTACTATAATTATTATTTTAATGCCATGTACACATTTCTCTTTGGGCCTTCTTTTTTTTTTTTTTTTTTTTTTCGCTCTTATCAAATACGAGATAGCGGAAATGGGCTTCGCTTGGGAAAGCGCTGTGTTTAATATTTCCAATTGCATGCAAAGGACTTATCTACTCATCTAACGTACGGTTCTTGTCACCCATTCGTTCACGTAACGAGCCTGGCATGAGACGTTGTTCATTGATAGACATAGCTTCCTATATATTTATATAGAAGTAAACGATTGTACACCTGAATTGCCGCAACGCTAAATGGAAACAACTACGAATGGGACGTGCATACTGTGCACTTCGTACATACATGTACGTACATTGTTTGCAGCGAGGGTAAAAGGCTCACTATACGAATCCAACTGGTGCAGTCTCAATGCAGTATGACACGATGCCCTATTCAAAGCAACGAAGAACCGTACCGAAGGCAGATGTCCTTAGGGAGCGTCATACGTTGCGCATGTGCGTCCATGCCGGATACACGCGTGACTACGGGCCGGATCGGAGGTATGGGCTCAACCTGCAGTGGCAGCGTCAGGGTATTTTTCCTCTGTTTATTTTAGTGGACAAACGGCACGAGTTTACTGTCTCCATTTGTGACTTTGCTCCGTCAACGGATCCGGTGGACACTATCGGGGGCTCAATATCATTCTCTTGGGGGTATAATTACGTAGGAACAGTGGGACAGGAAGTTAAGACCCTAGTTATACTGTAGCCCATAAAAGCGATTAGCTGTAACAAAGATTCAAAAATCATATCCAGTTATTGTCCGGCCTAGCATTTGGGTGCGCGTCGGGTTCCACAGGTTCAGCCCAGCACAGTGTGTCAGTCACTAGGGCACAATAGGGCAGTTTACTGGCTCCTCTATTGCTGAATTCAAAAAGTGCCGTCCGAACTAGTCAACGGAGGCAAATCGGCTCGTGGCTGATAGACTTGCGGTGTTTAGTTTTACAAGGAGACCACGTAGTGCACGGGTGTAGCGGTGTGAAGGTCGGGTTTTGCTTTATAGATACTTGTTTTATAAAGCGGTATAAGTGAACCTATTTGCGTAGAGCAGAAATATTTTTAGGTATTTATTTTATATTTTTATAATATATATACTATTTATTTAGAACACTGATGTATCTACCGGCAGGTATGACCTATTGAGGTTTGTTTCAACGCATACTGTATTGAATAATCATAGACAATAAAATCCACACACACACACACACAACTGGTATGGTAGCATTCAAATATATAACCGCATTTTGGCCAACTGGGCCATCCCTGGAGACGCAAAGTCACTCTGAATAGATCTTTTCTTACCTGCAGAATATCATTTGTACAGGTACTTGTATTTCTTGTAAAGGCCATAGGTAAGTATATACAAAGGGCAAATTTACATTCTCATTAAAATTCAACTTATCATAAAATTAAAAAAAAAAAATAGTTAGGCTTGTTTCTGAAACATATTCTTCTATTGTGTGTGTACATTTATAAATATGAATTATGTTTACATTAGCATTTGCTAATCTGTTTAGGCATGATTCAGAAATCTCTCACCTAAAAATCACCCCGGAAAATCTTCATCATATCTTCGTCATCATATTATCGTACCTAAATATGCCATGATACATGATTCGTATGCTGTGCCAGCTCCCGAGTTGAACACACATCGTCTTGCCTTCAGTTTCATAGTACTTAGATAGTACTTACATAGATGCTTAGTTTCAGCGACGTTAGAAAGATAGGTCTTTCAACCAACATGTTACAACGCACAGTCACATCTACCTACCTAGAATGACTCGCCTCCTACCCTGCTCAACCTGTCGCTCCTAAAACAACTGGGAACTGAGCCCTCTTTCACCCCAAGCAGCCATCTTCATAACTGTGTTAGGGATGACGCGTTGCCTCTTTTTAGGCGCGTGGGTCGTCGTTCATTCATTCGCTATTATGGTAGTTAACCGCTAATTGCGGCAGAAGCAGCAAAAATAGGCATACACAGTTTCCACTTCTACAAATGTCTGTAATTTTGACTACGGTTGAAGGTCCAGCCAAGAGACGCCCCCTGTCGCTCTTCTGTCTGTCTGTCTGTCGATCTGTCCGTAACTTCGGCCAGTTACCCTGGGAATGAGTACCATCTGCTGATCAACCATTGATAGGCAGAATCTAGCAAGAGTCATTTAATCAAGGGACAAAGACCAACAAAGGCCAGCGGTCAAATTGTCATCGACAGTAGACTACGCCACTAGATCAGCCGTTGCTTCTCAGAGGCAGTACGTATCACCTGAAAAATAGGTAGATAGGTCGTTTGCTCGCTCGCTCGCTCACTACTTCGGTGCTAAGGCTTCATCTGTGTGGTACCGCACAGTCCTATCCAAGCTAGCCTACATAGGCCAGTCTTCATTGACCCGCCACCAGTAAGTGGACCGATAGTGTTTTATGGCTCTCAACGGGGTCAAGTGCGCGGCGATGCGGCAAGCTGGCCGCAGCCGTAACAATAGCAGTAACGGCTGCACCGATGCTGATACCATGGAACTAAATATGACAGCGGTAATAACGACAGCTACTTCGGCAAACTGGTTTCACGTAAAAACTGTGGGGCATTGCAGTACTACTAGTTCGTGCTAGTTGTACAATAGTAATAATATAAGCGCATGGTTCGCTTGTAGTACCAATATATGCTTGTAGTGCCGTGGCTATAGCGGTGTTTAGCGACGCCCCAAAGTCATCATTGACTAGCGGGGATTTAACGCAAAATATAGCAATGGTAGTTGAGCAATGGCATTGCGAATACGAGCTTGGTTTACTAGCCTCGTTCGTGGTCCTAGCAGCAAAATCAGACACCATCACGCACCCTCGCGAACACTAGGGCTCTTTCTCTCAGGCCTCCAACTGCCAAGGGCATCTCGTTGGTTGGAGACGTCCTGCTTGTTGTAATGGCTCTGGCAACTCTGAATGAACTGAACATATCTCATTTTAATGTACTGCTATTGTTTTCACAGGGTCTGATTCTATCTAGAATATCAAACGTAGCCGACATCTTGCATCCATCGGCAGCGACAGAAATATTGGGTAAATGCATAGTAATATGACTAGTTTGTCGTGCACGGTGATATCAGCGGCGTACAGAGACCAGTGAGTGTGTCAACGTTTCGTTATTGCGCAATGGCGCATCGTTTTACACGTATCTCGAAGGTGGAAAGGACTTACTTCGCGGCTTTTACAACGTGCGACAGTTTTATTCCGTGTGCTGCACAAAAATTCTATGAAGGTTATAGAGGTAAAAAAAAAAAGGTTGTGGTCAACTATGAGCGTGGGACTGATGGATCAAGGGAAGGAGCAGGGAGCCGTTTACTTGCGCTTCGTCGATTGCCTGCAAAGTTTCGAGGTACGTGAGGTGTGGTCTAAATTTGAGTTCAGCCGTAGACATACTTTGTTTTATGCTGAGAGGAGCCAGCTGCCTAAAGGAATGCTTAAGCACCTACCTAAAACTCAGAATGCTCATTTACGTATCTTTCAACCTTGTCGCTCGTTGAATATAACGGTACTGTCGAACTGTTGGGTATACGCTGTTTTTTAGTCAGCCCATGGCGTGGTCCACGCATTGAAGACTTTGTCAAACGTAGTACGATTATTATTTTAAGTGTAAGATCACGATCGCATCCGTGTAAGAAGGCATTAGCTGTGGGCGACTATGGTATTCAATAGCGTTATACTGATATTTCTCCATCAATGAACCTAAGAATATTTCCGCATTCGTACGAACACTTCGTTACAAGCAAGCACCACGTACAAAGACACGTATTACGACAATAGCCGCTAAGCTTCCACAGAGGTCTGCTACAAGACATGGTGTCTATGTATGCTTTGTCCAACTGAAAACTTAATCAAGAACTTGATTAACCCATGCACGACAATATCGTACAAATGTAACCTAAGTCTCCTAATGTAACTGGTTAGAATCTGTAAGTTTTTTTTTTTTATTTCAAGTGACGGGCCGTGCACGATGAGCTTCTAGTAATCGCAAGAGCTGCACTATTATTACGTATTCGCTATCTTCGCATGTAACGAGATTCGGGAGCAGCCGCACGACCCAATCAGCTGCTTCCTCATATACAGTATATCCGTAAGGTCTTACGTTTAATATCTGTTCCAGTTCATTACAAAATTGTTTGGCCAGTTACTTCTGCCGTTGGTTTCGGTGGGCGAAAATTTTTCTGGCCCTTATCGGAGAAGCTAGCGCTTTTGCACCTGAAGCTCTCTCAGAAACAGCAATTCCTTCTATACACAGAAAGGAGGTTCAAGGCCATCGCTATAGCCGACGTAACGGCCTATAAGAACAGAGGTCCTTATTCGCCGCGAAGACACAGCTTTTATATGTAGTTGACAAGTCTCTGCGGGCTGTGTATACTATTGTCAATAAGCAAAAAATATAATTAAATGTTTCGCTTGATAGGTCATACGTTTGATGAAGTGGATGATAAGTTGACGATAACATGAGGCTACCATATTGATTGCAATGACAACTATTGTTGGTATTTTTGCCATTTTACGTTGGCACCAATCTACAGAGCACATTTCAGGTTTGGCCACTAACGTACAGCAAATAATTCATGGAATAAAGATACAGAACGTGCTGGCTTCAAACGACGATCAGAAGTAACGATTAGATCCTTCGATGGTCCAGTAATCAACCCCACCTATGGTCTGTTATCAACCGAGCCAACTGAGCTAAAAGAAACACGAAGTGACCATGAGCTGTTGTTCTTCCCCCGGATATTCCTGTTCATTAAAATCGTTAGCAACTGCCTGTACGCTCTCTAAGCTTTACTGGCACGTTCTCCAGTAGCTCTTCTTGCGTTGGAAATTTAGCTAGGTAGTGCTTATACAAGGAAGCCCCAAACTCGTAATTTATCCGTTACGTATTTTCAGAAAGACGCCTTTTGGACCAAATTAAACGAACCAAACCAATGAACGATTTTGGACGCCCCACGCGGATCACACTCGACCCAGATTTCCTTTTCTTGTATTCAAACTGGTCCTGTCTTGCAAGTAATAACTAAAGGAATGCTTAACAATAACGTACGTTGATATCGTCTCGTAGTTTTGTCACGCAGTTCGTTCACACGGCTGTTATGCAAGACATCTTTCAGTGTAAATACCCACCTATAGCTTTATAGGTATCTCCCCCTGCTAGGGCAGAGAAGTCTGAGAGTCCATAATAGTTGGTTGTCTTCGGGGGGGGGGGGGGGGGGGGGGGACGACCTAGTTGCTAACATGCTTTGTGTATCGAGTTGCAACTTTATGGAACTCGTTAAGGCTTTCCGCGAATCCCTTTTTCCGGTAGGCATTTACGTTCCTTGTGGACGCCCAAGCGTCGGACAGCTGATCCGGGATAGCCGAACCTGCAACTATTGTTTGTGCTGTCGTGATCTGCGTGCTGGCATCGTGGGCAGGCACACGCATGCTGTGCGTTTCATTGGTCGGTAATTTAGACAGGCTTTGCATGGTCCTACCAGAGGATACTTGTAAGCGGCCCAGCCAGGTGGCGCAGCTAACGCCCACACACGAAGGTGCGAGAATAGGTAGTAGTCAATCGCAGGTAAAAGGGAGCACTTGATCTAAATACTCGAATGCGCAAACGATAGTTTCTCGGCCACTTCATCAATGCCAGTGTCGGTGTTACGTGTAATTATGGAGTACGTCACCAGAATAAAGAAATATGGGATTTCAGCTGTTGTTACCAAGCGTCAATAGTGGTCACTAAAATCTTGCGGTGTTTGATTAGCCTAGTGAACATGAAAGATCAGATGATTTACAATCCCGATCCCACTATATAAGAACATAGAGCGTGTTGTTTAGGTTACTTAATAGCCGTAGCGCGACTTTGTTGGTAGGTTTTTGCCCGTTCAGGTGATCATTTCCTACCTTAGGACGAACATGTTGGAAATCGACGTATGGGTAGGTTGTTCATGAATAGCTTTTGCTTTTTCCTGTCGTGAAGCTATCAACTATAGCTTCACTCGTTTGGTCTGTCCTCGAGATGCAATGAGCAGTGTATCAATGTTATCCGTGTCTCGTAAGCCACACACAACACGATGCGTTGAGCGTAGTTGCCGCGCTTGCTCTTGTGATCTCAACGGCCAATTCAGTTTTAGCTTAGCGCACTATACACTTTCCTAAATCCAGAGACGTAATAACGGGTAGCTGGAGAGCGTAGAGTGTCGTTCGGGGTTCCGATAAGTAAACTTTGATTTTTACATATATAGCCAGATGTGCACTAGTATACGATCTTCGGCGCTAAAATAATCATATACATTTTTGTTCTTATAGCCTTGGGCACGTTTTCAATTAATCACCTATGGAACAATATCGATTTGGCCTAGCGTACAGATGGAATACACAATTCGAGTAGCAATTTCAGCAGTTGTCACAATATAAATCGCCGCAAGATCCGTCTGGCGTAGAATCGGACGCGAAAAACCAACTCACTGCACCAGTGTTCGAGTTGTTTCTTTTTTCCATGAACTTAAATTTTTTTTTTCGCTACGTTGTTATTGTTGTTACAGGTAGGATTGCCTCCTGATTTATCGATAGGCTTCTGCGTCGCTCATACACCATAACATAGCCTAACGCACACTAGATAGGCCGAAACAAATTATGCCAACTCATAGCTGCGCCTAAATCGTACACGTCGCTGTTACTTGTAAACGGTTGTTGTACTCATCGAAGACGGACGCAAGTTTGCGTCGGCGTGAGCTTCGCTCAGAATACTGCTACAGTCGACAATATTACATGCACTGTGGCTTGCATGAAACGCTTCGATTCAACGTATGATGTTACCAATCGTAGGCTTTTACGGCACGGGCCGTTGCCTGGCCACGTATAGTCTAGTAAGCACTAATTGTCTATACCTGCGCCCTCGAACAGACCCGTCTAGGACGAATTCACTCTGTTCCGCTATATATTTACTGGGCGCCTTATTCACTAGCGTCAAGTCACTATAGGCTCCCGTAATGACACGTGTCCTCGGCGTTTCGGTTTAAGCCAGACAGACGTACAGATGTGTTTTACTAGTTGAACATACGACACTAGTACACGTACGTACGTCCGCTCTAGCTGGGTCGAAGAGTCTGAACTCGGGTCGAGCACGTTGCAGAAATGTGTCTACGCTTTCCCGATGGTGTGGCCTGTTAGGCGAGGGCAACCGAGGAGGAGGGAAACAATGGCGCGATTGTGGTGGACGCGCAGAGAGGGACGCTCCTCATTCTGCTGGGGAACAGGAGCTCACCGATTTTGACTGGGAGAGCGGATTTGAGGCTTTTGTCGGGACGCCGCAGCAACAGCAGGATGGTAGAAAAGTGGCAGCTGTATGGCAATTCTACGTTCCGTCACAGAATAGCATAGCAAAGGAAATCGAAATAACTGAACGTCTGTTCTCGTAGGCACATCCAGCATTTTGTATCCTGACATTGTGCAAGTCGTGATTACAGGTAGGGATGATGATCACGACGATAATGCTCATGACAACGATAATGAGCACTGAAATCGACTGTAAAGTATGAAGTGCTTGAAGTTAGGAAACGACTGATGTACTCTATGATATTACTACTACGAAACACATGCTGGAAAATAAATCCGCAAAAATAGTATTGTTGTACAGTAATACTTTATACAGCACAGAGCTTCCATAAATATTAAAGCAAGTCGCGCGTTGGCAGCAGGTATAGAAGAGCCATGCATCTGTCCGATTGCTTTCTAGCTGACCGTTTCAAAGGCACATAGGCATACTCCGATACTTCGCAATCACACGACTATGCTGAGTACGCCGAATGAGCCTATACGAAGCGCAGCTACCGCAAGACACACGAAAAAAAGATACGTTGGAAAGGGGATTTGAAAGAGAGGCCGAACGAAATATGCGGGGCTGGTGTCTCCCCAGTATTCTGCTCAATTCCCTACACGGCTATCCAACGAAAAGCTATCTCTGAGAGCTGTGTTTGCATTCTCCCTTGGGTCACTCCTCCCAGAGGAAAAATGCCTCTGGTCCGGCGGACGTATCCACCATACTGTGCTGGATCCCCCCGAGAAAACCCAATACGTCGGCTAGCACCAAGTCAGTGGCTAGGCACCTTAGTTAGCTAACGGCGTTATGATATACTGTACGCAGAGTTTTCTTCTTGACGTCCTTGTCCTTGTGTCCCTCGCGGCAAATGCCTTCACCTTTGCCCCTATCCAGCCTTCTTTCTTGGTTTTCTTTCCCTCATTTTGACGGCGTTGTTTTTGTCTCAGCAGCTGGTGAAAGTGCCTCGATTATAGAATCGCCTATAGGAGTAGGAGGGGCCAACGGTGGACGACGTGGGCGGGTATGACAGGGCTATATTGAGGCCTGGTACACAATATGGATATGAAGGAGGGAAAAGTAGCCATCCTCACAGAAGGTAGAGGTAAGGGCACGTTCACGAGAGACGAAACGGGCAGGAAGAGGACGACCGCTACATGGTAGCGTGCGGACGGCTTTCAAGCAGCAACTATTGCTGCTGGCGTTGCTAATGCTACGACAAAAGCAGTTTTTGCTGCTGTTGAATGCGCTATGATTGCGTGTAGAAGCAGCCGGCGCGGTCAGTACCTTCTCGGATTCAACGGCCGTTGTTAGCGGTTCCGCTTACCAGCTAGGAAAGATGGGATACGATGGGGTAAAAGGGTAGCTGGGTAAAGGTAAACGGGAAAACGACCAACCAGAAGGCTTATGCAGGAGAATGTTTATATGCATAAGGACATATATCTATATATATATATATATATATGTAAATGCTTTACTTATTATATTTCAAACAAGGTGATCTTCTTTATTTATTAGTACTTTACGATGTTAATTGATACGACGATCGAAATTATGAAAGCCGAAACGTATACGATGGTAGAAACCAGACGGCCCATCCTGCAATCGATAGTATGAGAAGCTATCGAAGGGATATAATAAATAATCGCGTTCAGTGCTTCACAGACGTCACCTCGCTCATCGTATTTGAAGCGTCTACTTGCCTCTAAACGTTTGTAGGCCCCATTATCAAAAAATGTTTTATTCTATGATAATTTAAATGCTTCAATATATAATTGAGACAGTATAATGAAGAGCGTAGGTCCACAGGTGGTAATGTGTTGAACTCACCTTATTAGATTAAAGAACATATAGAAAACAGATATTCACCGTTTAGGCTCCTTAAACTTAATATAGTAAAATAATTTTCATATAATTATATAAAATAATAAAAACCCTTTTTCATGCTTAATGCGTGGACTCCAAACTAAATTCAAGCTAGATGTAATAGTATTTACTTGTTAGGATATAATGACGTCGCAGAATTCAGCTAATTCACTGTTAATTTAATACTCTTCAGGCTCAGATTCGAACTGAGCCAGCAATAGCAATATTATATTAGTAGGACTATTTCTTACTCCTCTGTAATTTTCGTTTGTCCGTTTTTATTATTTTGTTAACGTTAATTCCTCTTAAAATAAATAGACGACGTCGGTGTGCCAAACCCGTAGCATCTATTTAAGCGAAAGGGTCGCATTATGGAATAAGTAGATGATTATAGAAGATTTCGACATAAATTTGATTGATGAACGCTTGATGCTATTTAGAGTTCAGGATGAGTATCTACAGCTACTGGCAGACAAATTAACGGATAGGAGGCGGGTAGGAATGTTGTCAAACGCCTCTAGAGGAAATGACGAAGCCATGCTATACGATGTTTAATATACTATAATCCATCTATGTACAACTGTGTGCAGAAGATTGAAATCTTCATTGTGGCCAGTTGGTAGAAGCATGCATTATATTGCAATGCAAAATATAATACAGTTTTCTACCATTTGACTATACATAGATCAAGTACGAGTTCCCGATCTTCTCCTTCAGAGCAACTGGCAAATGTTAAATTTAAAGGAAAAAAAAAAAACTAAATCCTATCGATCGTTATCAACAGTAAAATTATAGAAATAGTAAAGCTGTTGCCTTCGATCTGAGATTAGTTAATAAAATTATAGCTGCCGTTAACGTATTTACTATAATACCAAGACTTGTGTTTACACGGAAAATGTGTTTCATCTTACTCATCTGCCTCTGCCCTATACATTACTTAGGGTTTCAAAGCGGTCACCAAAGTAGAATACACACTTTTGGGAATCAACGACACCTAGCTATAAGATTACTTCGCACAATATTCGCTTCAAGCTGGAGGTAACTGTTATTGTTAGACGCGGCCGCAGGAAGAGTATTCGTGCGATTGAGGCCACTTTTGCGGGCCTACCCCTCGCTTCACGTTTTCACTAAGCAATATCAATGTAATTTTTTCTTTCTCCGACCGACGTAATGACGTAGTAACCAACCTCTTTTCGACTTTATCTTAAGATAGCGTGACTACCGGTCTTCGCCGCATGGGCGACAAACACATCATCAGTCCATAGATGATGACTTGTGATCCAAGTCACGATTGATTTGCTGTTAATTGTATTAATGTTGTTAACAGCCGTTCGTCTCTAGCTTAGCAACTTTAGTTGAAGAAATACGTCAGCGCTAATGCCACATTTGTTGTCACGGTGGGGCCATGTGGAACTTCCACCTGGTATCTGTTTTGTTATCGTGTTGGCTGTGTATTCTTATCGTGCTTGAAAATGTATGGACAGCACTCGAGTAGGTGAACGTAACAACTAAATATTACGTATGAAGGAAATATGCATTATGGATAAAGATACGTCTGTCTAGGCCTTGTGTTACCAAGAAAAGAACCGACTTTAAATAGGACAAACAACAGGCACAAATGGATAACAGCTTTGGATAGCCTAATAGGACGTCACATATTTTCTACAAGATGGAATTTCAAGGCGATATTTCTAGTGATGATAATAATTTTTATTATTTCAATAAGGAATAAAATAAGGACGCTTACAAATGCGTGACTATACCAGTATTGCGATTATTAACAAAAGATTTAAAAATCATCCTAATATAAACTTAAACATTCGGCCTGACACATAAGGCGTAAGATATTTTTCATATTAGAAAATATGATACGATATTGTTGTCTTTGTCGAAATTAGTGATTAAGAAACGCTTAGCCTGATTGCTTTAATCAAGACTAACGTTACGTTTTGACGTACCGCATTGGTTTATTCCGCAAACAAACGTCCTATATTTTTCCAACTTACGTACAATATTGTACAATATCACAAATAAACTAAACGCCTTAGCCCTAACTGGCATTATGGCTTAAGTGCTCTTCTTGTGGTAAAGGGACTATCGTCAAACTATCACTTCACTGAGTCGTAGAGCATTCTTTGCTTTCATGAACGTCTTCAACATCTTCATCTTTCTTGATCGCTTTTGTCCGGGCGACTGTTTACCGCAGGTGAAGAAAAATTTTATAATTACGTTTGCTTTTTGTCTTGCCCCTGTTGGTTTCCTGCATCCACTTCTCTGGCAGCGCTGCATAAGACGCGGTACGATGAGATGATGTACAGCTTTTCTATATGTTGGCATTCGCTTGACGACTTCTCGCATGTGCAAACAACAGGAGTTTGCCACACTTGGCGCTAGTAGATACGTACTACATAATGCGCACAATGACGGGGGCTGCGGTATCTAAGCTTGCTTGCCACTACTTCGCCTTATTGTACTGCTAGCACCGCCTCCAGCGCTCGCTGTATCCTCAAACATATTTCTTTTTTTCTGACAACAGTCGGAAAAGGAAATACGCGACGGACCCCGCGCGGACCCCTCAACCGGCAACCATCCTGCGGATCCTCACTATTTCTACACCCTAAATTCTAACCTTTTCTCCAACGCTGACCATTTTGTCAGAAGTGGTGCACTGGCGCAAGCGTTAACGCAACCGCGACTGTCATATTTTTCTACTTCGCTGCTGAGTCAAAGACTAAAGTTTTTTTTAGAAAAAACAGGAAACGCTGTTTGTATAGCTCTTCTCGGTCTCTCTCATTCTTTTGCTTTTCCGTTACTTTCGTCTGTTAGCTTCAGCATCATTCGATGCCTGTATCGTCTGCTGCAGCAGCAGCTTCGTACCCCTTGAAACTGGTATTAATTTGAAGGGTAGACAAATTGGGATGCGACAGCGGGTCTCCGTCGGGGGCTTGTTTGTTCCCCTGCCATCACCAGCAACAGTCTTTATTTGCTTGCCTTTCTCCCTTTTCGCTCAAT